AGTGCACCAATGTCCGAAGTTTCAGATGTAATTTTGACATGGACCAGACAACCCCCTGCGGAATGCTCTGAAGTCCGAAATTTTTTAAGTTACTTCCATCCAGATATAATAATCCCCATAGACTGCACCAATGTCCGAAATTTTGGATGTAATTTTGACAGGGGCCAGACAACCCCCATGAAATGCTCCAATGTCTGAAATTTATACTTCAAGTACCTGAAAATGCGGTCACAAAAACATCCGGATTTGTATTTAACATGCTGAATGTCATTACCCCGAAAATGTGGTTGAAAAAATGTCCGGAGTTGTAGTTGACTTGGTCAATGTCACTGCTCTGAAAATGCGGCCGAAAAAACATCCGGATTTGTATTTAATGCTGATTTGTCATTAGCCCTGAAATGTCCGAAGATTTGGACGTAATTTTGTGACCAACTAGCCCCAATGAACATCTCTCAAGTCCGAAAATGTGGGTCATTTCCATTCAGATGTATTAATCTCTGTAGAGTGCACAAATGTCCGAAATTTCAGATGTAATTTTGACAGGGGCCAGACAACCCCCACGGAATGCTCCAAGTCCGAAATTTTTTAGTACTTCAAGTACCTGAAAATGCGGCCGAAAAATGTCCGGATTTGTGATTAACTTGGTTAAAATCACTGATCCGAAAATGCAGCCAACAAAACATCCGGATTTGTATTAGTGCACCAATGTCCGAAGTTTCAGATGTAATTTTGACATGGACCAGACAACCCCCTGCGGAATGCTCTGAAGTCCGAAATTTTTTAAGTTACTTCCATCCAGATATAATAATCCCCATAGACTGCACCAATGTCCGAAATTTTGGATGTAATTTTGACAGGGGCCAGACAGCCCCATGAAATGCTCCAATGTCTGAAATTTATACTTCAAGTACCTGAAAATGCGGTCACAAAAACATCCGGATTTGTATTTAACATGCTGAATGTCATTACCCCGAAAATGTGGCTGGAAAAAATGTCCGGAGTTGTAGTTGACTTGGTCAATGTCACTGCTCTGAAAATGCGGCCGAAAAAACATCCGGATTTGTATTTAACATGCTGAATGTCATTGCCCTGAAAATGCGGCCGAAAAAATGTCCGGATTTGTGATTAACTTGGTGAACATCACTGATCCGAAAATGCGGCCGAAAAAACATCCGGTATTAATCTCTGTAGAGTGCACAAATGTCCGAAGTTTCGGATGTAATTTTGACAGGGGCCAGACAACCCCCGCGGAATGCTCCAAGTCCGAAATTTTTTAAGTACTTCAATCCAGAATAATGCGGCCAA